GGGATTTGTGAAGGTTGCTCAGAGAAGTGGTGTTCTGGTGGTGGATATAGCTTGCATGTAGATTACAGCAGGGAAAGGGGAAGAGGACTGGGGAATAGTTTGAAAGTGCGGATTCAGTAAAAGATAGTGATGGCTTTCTGACTTAGGAACATGTAAATGTTACATGATCTGAGGACAGGGACACAATATGTCTCTTAGCAAGATACTATCTTGAATACAGTTTTAAGGGTGGAAATTTGGCCTCTTCAGGTTTAGAATGTAATGTGACCTTTTTCTAGAAAATAAGGCCTCTTTCAAACAAATACATTGCTCTGTTAGTTTATTTTTTTTAAAGTAACGCTTCTCTCCATACTCAGCCAGTTACATCATCTAATACCACCCTTATGTTTGTTTGCCTTATCTGTGATTGCTGCTTTTTTCTTTAATTAAGATTTTCAGTTATTTAGAAGAATCTGTGCATGTCTAATATTTCAATTACCAAAGCTATTTCGGTTTACTATATGCATCGTAATAAGTGGATTAAGTACAACAAAGGCACTAGAAGGAAGACACCAAGAGAAGAACAGAAAAGATTGGATTAAAAGAGTGGGAGGACAAGACTGCAAAACTTCCTGCTGGTACTGAAAATATAAAAAATTAGCACACTACACTGACCTCTATCACTGTATGCGCACAGCCAAGGAAGAAAAAATACGTTCTTGTTTCATCCACCCACCTAGGAGAGCTGGATTTATTACATATTATGAAGAGCTTGACAGGCCTGTTGCATTATTACCATACACACAATTTTATTGATTACTTCCGAGAGCTGTTGTATCACTATTTGAACAAGACATGACCCTGTATAACATAAAAGGCAAATAATGGAGACACTGACAGATAGTGTTATTGTGCCCTGTGCATTTCACGACTTCTTTAAGGACATTGGTTACCCGCAGTGTTTACTAGTTGTTGACAAGAGCACAAATATTACAACTGTATTCTTGAGCATATTTTTTTTCAATCAGATTAAAACTGTAATAATATTTTTTTGTAAAACAAATAAAGATATCCAAGTTCTAGCTCCAAAAGACATTGAAGTCAAAATAGAAACCAAAATTCTAAATTCAGTTTTATATTGCAGCAAATATACCAGGGCTTGTTTGCTGTATCATGGATGAGAAGAATAAATGTATTAGTATTGCACAGCTTGTTAAGACTGTTATAAACACACCAAGATACATTGTCATCTATGGTATGAAAGCTTCTTCAGCTACAAACTTCTACTTGGCCTCCTTTTTGTGACTGTCATTTGCACAAACAGCAGAAGGATAAGCTAAAATGTCGTTTTTACCCTGCAAGTCTAAGAACCAGATCTATGATGCCAACATTCAGTGCCAGATAATTGCAACTCTCTCTCTCAGTTGTACTTAAGTCCTTTAACGGTGTTCTATAGGGGTCTGGAAGAATCAGATGGATTCTCACCTACAGCTTGAGTGATTTCAAATGCCACTATGTAGTTCTAAATCTGAAACACTTTTAAATGTTGCACTGGCAGATGCAGACTTTGCTAACGCACAAGAAACTCATCTGAAAAGATGTTTGTATAAAAGAAGCCAATTAAATTCACTCATTCCAGTAAATATTAAAATACATTTCCAAGAGCAATCAGGCTGTCCAATACTGTCACACAAGCAGAACCTTAACTCCTATCTACCATTATGTTGCAAATGTTTTTCAAGATCTTGTTTACTACTCGTTCAGTAGTAAACGTCCAGACTTCAGTAAGAAAAGACACATGTTAATAAAAATACAGAAGAGCTTGAGTGCTACATTATGGTTTACTGATGATAGAGATTAATGTTGCAGTAAAGTGAGAGCTTTGCTTGCCCTCTCCTTATTTGCCATATCTCTCAAGAGGACTTATATAGAATAAATATGGAATAAATATCCTTTCAGAGAATAGGATTTACTGCAAAACTGCTGCAGTCTAATTGCAAAGTCACATCACATCATACCACTGTACCACCCTGAAATTACAGAACAGTTGAGGCTTGAAGTCAGTGAAGAAAATACGCTGAATGTGCTCAGTTAAATATGCAGGGCTCTTAAATTATCTGTGTAACAGACAAGAAGTTTATGAAACCAGCAGTGTCTAGATGAGGTTTCAATATGGCTCACAATAGTTAAAATATTCTTGTGGAATATCATCAGGAAGCTACAGTTTATCTAAGGGAAATAAAGCATCAGTGCAAACCTGGAAGCATTAATCTTAATTTTTCCTTTTTTTTTTTTTTTAAAGCAATCTTTAAAATTCAAGGTAAAGAGCATCTATTATTATTAAGATTACTTGCAATTTCTCAGTATTAGAGGCGGGGTAAGTTCAGAGAAGTACTAAAGTGAGAAACTATGAGAAGAAATTGTAGGGAATATGAGAAAAAACTGACAGGAATCTTGGCCTTATTATCTCCTTTGAACAAAAAATTTTAAAATGGAAGAATGTATTGTTCACCTAAAACTGAAGTGCAAAGAAAGAATTACTTGGCTTAAAATTTCTGGAAGGAGGAGAAACATCATCTCTAGCTAGTAACCAAGGTACAAAAACTGAATTCCCAAATGAGATTTTTTCCCCCAAGAATTTATAAGCATATAAAATTAGACATAATCTCGAAAACTCTTTTGCAACCTTTACTGTCTTCTGCCAAGTGAACATAAGTCATCTGCATCAAGCTTCATTTCGTACATAGTGGCTCATTTACTCAGGAAAAATGAAACTTCTATTATTTGATGACACTTTTTCTCATTATTGGCTGCATTTCACTGCATAGCACCATCTGGCTCTATGTAATCTCTTTCAGTGCAATAAGCAGAGGCAGATATTATACTGTACTATGAGTATTAGTGTTGGGTATTTTCCAACCAGCCTGTAACTTTGAAGTCTAAGAAATCATACCATTTAGGTGGTGGGCATACTCTTGAATATATGTACCAGTTATCTCAAGTGGAGAGGCTGCACAGCTGTGTCCCAGTCCCGTTTAATGTGAATCCTAGTGGGTACACTGCACTGTGTAGAGGCAGTGGTAAAAAGGTATAATCACTGAAATCCTGATAAATCCTTAGCTACTTAGTATCATCCTTTCCTCTGGCCTTTAATGAGATTTTTCTGGGATCTGCCGACATTTACAACACATATATACATTTAGCTACATAGATACTTAGAATTCTGTATGAACCATTACATATCTACTTCCATCTGATACTTTCAAGGTACCTCACAAATATTCACGAAAACGTTGCCTATGAAAACAAGCTGTTTTCATTAGAACTACGTAAAATAATTTTTTTTACTGTTTTAAGAAATCTGTCCCCTGAACAAAATTTGCTGTAAAATTATCATAAGGACTCACCTTTGTAATAATTTTACAGATAATAACATTTTCATAAAATGCTAAAATTTACATTTTTAATATAAAGAGTAAAATGAATGTAAAAAATTAAAAACTATTTAGGTGAGTACAAAAAATAAAAATAAAATAAAATTTAAAAATCAGATTGTTTACCACAATAGAAAGAGGAATTAGTTAGTATTAAAGTAATAGAATTCCATCACAAGCAATGGAATTGCAGCCTTTGGCCAATCACACACGTGAATTTAATGATTTAATACACAGAGATACGTTATAGTTTTTGCACCAATACAATCTTCCTGTCTGATCTGAAACAAGATAAATAAGCTCTCTGCAAACAGATAATCACATATAAAATGAGGACAGCAGTTTTCTTCTGTCTCCAAGGAGTACTGTGAGAAATGAAGTGGAAATGGGCCGCTGCTATAGATTATTATTATAGTATTGTAAGTTTTTAAACAGTAGAGCCAAGAGACAACTCAGGTTAAGCTTGCTGATGAAATCCTGAATAATTTATTAATGTGGATCTATAAAGACGTATTTGCTGTAACTTTATGATAAACAAGAAAGCTTAGGGATTTTCTCCTTACAAATTTTTTAAACCATTAGAAGGACAGGTAATATATAACTTTTGTGTATGGTCATTATAAAAAATATAGTGGTTAAAAAAAAATAGTGGCTTTAACCTGTAGAACTCCAGTTAAGAATATTTGAGAATTTTCATAGGTCTTCAGATACTTTTCTGTTGTTTTCATTGGTTTTATCCACCAAAACTCAGTTGAACCTCACTCTTACCCTCATTCATTTTAAAACCACATGATTGAAAAATCATCTATGTATTTACTTATTTATTTATTTATTCATTCAGTAGGAACCTTGGGATCACAGGGCAGAATCAGTGCAGATTATGGTGTTACAGCCAAATCTCCAGATGACTTCAGTCCTGAATGAGAAACATCTGAAATTCAGTTGGGAACCTGGATTCTAGGTTTCACATTTTTATTTGATAATTGCTGGAGGAAAAAAAAAAGACACTACTAATATCTTATCTATATTAGTGACTGGACGTATCCACAATTCCAGATACTGCAAAGCATCGAGTGCTCTTAATTCGCAGTAGAACCAATAGGTTTCAGCAATTGCTTGGCCTCTTGCAAGAATATTCCCTTTTTTAAGCTAATAACTGTTACACAGTCTTTTATATTTTTAGTAAACATTAACCATGTGTGTGTTCAAAAATTTAAGTCCACTTACATAGCAGCTTAAAAACATATTTAACATCTATATAGTTTTATTTTTCCTTTATCTTTTTAAAATGCAGTTTTTAGATATTATATCTATTATAGTTGATGGAATAATGTCACAGAAATCATCCTTCTGAAAGACTAAAATACCAACATAGCATAACTTAATAACAGGCTTACACAAACAGTGCAATAAACTTATAGGTACTACATCACTTCCGTTTATTGTGGAGTTTCTAAAGAATAGGAAGAAACAGATAAGCTGTGATGTGTTCACCATACGTATGTGCAGTGATAAATGGAATTTCTGATGCCTTGACGGTAATTTTATTTCATGTTTTACAAAACTTAGAAAGGGAATGTTGCTTACCTTTGTCTCAATTTGTTTGGTGTCTAGATTCTGAAAAAGCAGCTTTACTTTTGTTTTTCCATCATCTGAAGAGCCTTTGAGTTGAGAGAATTTAAACCTCCACAGCACATTCTAAAGAAAAAGAAATTTGATTAAGAACTCTGTTACATGTACTTACCTAGATTGATGCTCAGTGTTTGTGTATTAAGATAAAGCGTTAGGGCAGTAAATACAGTACATGATAAGAAGCTCTTTGCAGAACAATAAAAATTAACAGTTCTGTATCCTTTGTGAAAGGAAAAGATACAATATTGATATTTACTGACTAAACAACTGTTTAGATCTAAATTCTCTGAAGGTTAAATGTTTCAGTTGCCTATGTAATATCAAGATCTATGGCAAAAGCTTAATTCCATAAAGATTCATGAAGATATTTGTATCAGTTTTCACTATGAACACAATTCCGTGCCATATCTTGATCTTTCATATTCCAGCTGGCTCACCTGCATAACACAGAGAATAGTGTCTTATACAGTTGCTGCAAAGTTAAATTTACTGATGTGTGTAACGTGGTTTGAAATCCTCAAATACACTACAGGAAACACAAAAATATTATTAGTGAATGTAGTCTCGGAAACCACAAAGATGTGTTCTGCTTTACACAGTGGCTTGTAAAATATATAAAAATTTTAGGCTTCTTGGTCTCCTACAGGCTTATGCATGGCATCTGACTAGTTTTGGCAAATCCTAGATTGACAGATATGCTTTAATATTTATGGAGATACCTATTTAAAACAAAAGTTGGGAAATTAATTTTGAAACCAAGATAATTTTCTGTATTTATCTGAATGTTTTCTATTGATCACCTGAAAATGTATAATTCAAAAACCCACAAGATAACAACTTGCATCTGGTCTTCCTGCTGATGTTTCCTTTAATGCCTATAATCTTAATGAAAATTCTCTGCACATGTTGAAATGTGATTCAGTCCCTGGACACTGCTGAGGAAACACAATTTAAATACTTGGAAGGCTATTTCAAAAGCACACATGGAAAAAAGTTTGCTATATTCCATTTTCCAACGTCTTTTCTCAAAATATTTTTTAAGTAGACCAGTGCTACTGGTGGTCTTCAGAACCCTACTCATGGTTTAAAAGGGAATGTCCTAGAAATAAAAACTATCTCCTAGTTCCCTGCAGACATAAATGTCACTGCCTTCTTAGAGAAATATAACAGATGAAAAAAAAACCAACTATGCTACAGCACTGTGATGGTGCTTAAACTTTACATTCATGAACAGACTTTAACTGGGTCCAGAGGGCCTAATTAGACCACCTGAAAAGTGTTCGAAGCTTAAATGAGTTTGGCTCTAAACAGGACAGATGAATGTTTGCTATGTAATATAACTGCTAAGGTGGAGATGAAACAAGAACTTAGGAACAATTTAGCAATAATAGGCATTGCTGGAGTCATTACCTCTCTCAATGGTTGACAATGAGTGGGAAAGAAGAGAAGTAGATAGTTCTGGAAGACAGAAGAAAATGTACAGTTTGGGATCCCTTTATCTCAGATGAGCAGCTGGAGACACAGGATGGGGAAGATGAACCAGCCAAGCCAACAAGAGAAAAAGAATCTACAAATGTGATATAAAGCAGCTGCAGACACAAAAGTATCTCTGTGGTAGGCCCAAAATGATAACAGCTGAATGAGCTAAGCCCGCGATGACCCAGGAACAGAACACCCAGGAAAAGAAGTAATTCTTCCAAATAACTTTAAGAACCCACCAAAACTATTCTAGAAAACAGTTTTCTAAAAGACACTTATATTTCTTGTGCAAGAGAGAGTAGTGAGAATATGTGAGAGAAACAACCCTGCAGGCACCAAGGTCAGTGAAGGAGGAGCAGGAGGAGGTGCTGTTCCTGAAGGACTACACCCCATGGGAGGGACCCACACTGCAACCGTTCATGAAGAGCTGCAGCCCATGGGAAGGACTCATGTTGGGGAAGTTTGTGGATAACTGCTTTTTTGGAGCAGGGGAAGGGTGTGAGTAGTCCTCACCCTAAGGAGGAAAGAGTAGCAGAGATAGCATGTGAGGTACCGACTGCAGCCCCCATTCCTGATCTGCCTGTGCCGCTGGAGGGGAGGAGATAAAGAAAACAGGGAATAAATTTAAGCCTGGGAAGGAGGGAGAGGTAGGAGGAAGGTGTTTTAAGATCAGGTTTTCATTTCTCATTAGCATACTCCAATTAGATTGGTAATAAACTAAAGTAATTTCCTGAAGTGGAGTCCCTTTTGCCCATGACGGTAAGCAGTGAGTGATCTCTCTCTGCCCTTATCTTGACCCACAAGCCTCTTGTTATATTTCCTCTCCTCTGCCCAGCTCAGGAGGAAGCCAGAGTCAATCCACCACGCTCCAAAGCAAAAGTTCTTGTGCTTTTTGTTTCAGAATTTGTAATAAGAAGGCCCATTTTATATTATTTTTCAGACTGTAAAAAAGAATGTTTTTCAATAAGTACATGAACTGGTTTCCCAGAAATTGAGATCCAGGTTTAGAGTCATAGAGCAAACAGGGGACTGGTTTTTATTTTAATAATCCTGTATGAACACCTGCTGTGGTGTAAGAGCATTCTTTGCATCAATAGAAGACCTTAATTTTTCCATTATCTCAAAAAAAAAAAGATTTTTCAGCAAAATTGCTATGTCCCTAATGAACTGCTAATTGCTTGACCACTTTTAGAATCTTTTCTGTGTTGGTAGGAAATATTCTGAAATAGCTATGCATATGGGACAACACAATCAACTAAAGGTGACAATTACAGGACATAAGATGAACTGCAGAAGTCACCAATTACTGCCTCACTCGGGCTTGAGGATGCAGAGGACATCTCCATCTCTCACACAGATGAAAAATAAATGTACTCAACTTTCCAGAATTTTTACAGTTTCACAACAGAACCAGTCTATTTGATGGTATTCTGTATTTCTCCTTAGGCAAGCAACAAAAGTTCATCTAAATTGTCTTCATCATCAATACTGAAGGTAGGCACTCTGACAGAAAGTCCTATCAATAGTGTGAGTTTATAATTTTAAAGGTGGGAGTATCTGTAATCAGTCTTCACATTAAAAAGAAACATTCTATAGAATCTATAAAGAGATTACTTTTTATAGTTAATTTGTGACTACATAAAAAACGTGTATACTTGTGCAAGAAGCACAATTTCAGAATGTAGTATCACCTGAGGCAGGGAAGGGCATGCATATGTATTTTGTGAAATTTTATGCTACTTCATAGGATAGCACATTAATGAAATTAGTCTAAATTTTCATGCAATCTTGGTCATTATTTCTCTGCACAAAGATTTCAATAGACTTGTCCATTTTAGCCCCAAACCCAGAAAATACCAACGTGCAAAAACACCCCCCTAGATCCTGTGTTAGTATTTCAAAATGCAGCGTGTTCCCTCTTAACTCAGAATGACTGACTGAATTTTTTTAAATATATAGTTGAAAAATCCTTTCAGTTAGGAGTTGAAGACCATATTTGAAAGGACAGACCTTCTATTGCATAGTTCTATTAATGTAGAAACATTATTTGTATGTATGTTTACTTCTAATTCAAACAAATGTTAAAATTAATTTAGAATAATTTAAAGAATCAATAAATTATAAATAAAATAGCAGCATTATAGACAGGACTTGGAATTTGGCACGTACCATAAACCATGCCCTGTAGGCACTTTCCATATAGCCATTGTTTTGCAAGACAAGTTAATTTAACCTTTTAGATTCTGACTTTGAAATACATTTGCCTTTGTTCTGTTTATTTTAGACATGGCCTAAATTTATTATGACAGAAGAAGAATTAATTCTATTTTATATCTGTAGCTTCAAAACAAACAGAATCAGGTGACATTTCATTTCTTTCATGATTTGTAATCTTTTACTAATCTTGAAGTTTCTTCATTACAACAAACCAAGTTCTCTGCTAAATAACCTTCTTTTGCTTTTATTGCTTGAAAAGGAAATCACTTTTTTATATCTTTCTTCAAAATTTATCTTTACATGCTAAGGCACAACAACAATTGTCCCTTTCAAGTCCCAAACTGACCCCGTTTCAGTAGTGCTAAATAAATAAATAGAACAGTACATGTGAGGAATAAATACTGGACATCAACATAAAAAATTGCAATAACCGATAACTTCAATAACAGTAAAATAATACCAAGGGTTTTTTCCTTTTCTTTTCCTCTTACCTTTGTTTTACTGTCAAAACAGGTAAATCCTAGAGCAAAGTCGACTGTGAAACACAGAGTATCCCCTTGCCAACTACACATATATGTTTTAGACTGGAAAAAAAAAAGTATGATTTTTGAGAGAACAACCATCATTGCAATTTACCATATAAAAAAATATTTTATGCAGAGTTTTTTTGTGGGGGAAGACACTCAACTAGCAACACTGGTACTACTTTATATTACTACATAAACACCATATTCTTGAAAACCATCCCTTACAAAATGCAACACAGAACAAATAAAGCCAAATCTGACTATTTCAAACTTTTGGCAAACTGCTTAGACCAGAGTTATTAACGACTTCTGACATCACTTACAATAAATGTGCAGGCAACAGTGCCTAAACGTTTTGTCATTGCAACCTAATTATGAAAAAGCATTCTGTCTACTTGACCTCTCCATTTGATTTAAACTTTGTAGACAACCTTTCTATTTTACAACATATTTTCATTTGTAAACTCTGGTGACATGCCAGCACAGCACTATGTTAATGTTAGTTAATGCAATTTGATAATAAGAACTAATAGCTATCACTCTTCAGTTAGCACTGATACTTGCTAGACAGTGCTCTATATACACCAACTCTATGATCACCTTTCAGGTTAGAAAGAAAAATTTCTACTTTATTAACAAAACCAGAAGTTCTGTTTAAACTTCTGAATAAGTCTTAAGGTAAAAAGTCAGTTAACTCTGTGTATTTTTAAAGCTTGCTGTCTTAGGTATATAATAGATTCTGAAAAGACATGAAAAAGTTTCTGCTGATGATGTAATATGAAACAGCTTGATGACATTCACCACTGACAGCTAATAGCAAAAAGCTCTTTGCCTTCAGCCTGAGTAGAGATCTGTCCCTGGGCTTTCCTTACCAGTCATTTTTAAGACTACATCCTTGTGCCTTATGAAATCTTTGATTTTTTTTGTTTGTTTGTTTCTTCCAAGGAAGTTTTACTTTACTCTCATTGCTATTTCATAAACCTCAATGCTGCCTCATGCTTAAACCTTTTTTGACATGAAAGTTTTGCATCTGGATAGTTTTTTTAAATTAAAAAAAATTGACACAAGAACGGCCTAGAAGACACTGAAAGCATTAATGTAGTTGCTTAAATTGAAAATTGTAATTTAAATTATTTTTAAAAGATTTTTAGTATAATCTAAAACTTTTGCATGATTGTAAAGGTTTCCTCATTCCAGTACTAATAAAAATACTTGGAGTTATAGTAAAAATAAGTATTTTTGAGTTACAGATATGACATTTTATAAAGGATTTTGAAAGGGCTGGGAGTGAAATTAATTAATTAGTGCAGATTAGTATTATAATCATCTCTACAATGATGGAGACATATAATATCTCTGAATAAATAATTTTGCTAATTGGTGTTCTAAGATCATATTATTTGGCATTCAAAAATATTTCAGTGATTGATATTCAATTAGAATGACATTTACATATCCTTACATTTTATTCAGTAATTACAAGGTGGCATTAAGCAGCAGTCATAACTTATTATCCATTATTTTCCAATTAAAAAGGTTATACTAGTTGAGGTCTGACTCAGCAAAGCATTTTTTAAAATGTATTAAATTTGATTCCCCCAATGGGTAAGTATCTAATTGCTCAGCCACAAATGGCGAATACTAAAATGAACTATGCACAAATAATTAGCTTGGAGTATTTTAAAAATATTCAGTATTGGCAAATAATGGAACCTGTTTGGAAATTTTTCACAAATACTAGAGACAAACAGAATATGCTGCATTTTCACTGTGATAAACATTACATTTAGATGTGTTTTTTACCTACAAACCACACTTAACAGTGTTTTCTTTACAATAGAATTGCATTTCACCATATAAATTTAAAAGCCTCCTTATGTCACTTCCTTCAGTTACTTTGAACAGGTTCTTGGACAGCTCTGTGATAAAGACCCTCATCTCTATTCATTAACACTAGGACAGAGCACTATTCCTTTTCATTTCTGCCTTTGGAAAAAGCTTCCCATACATGTGCAATTGTGTGATCACCCTTGGCTATCTACAACAATGGTTTACACAAAAATTTAACATCAGAAATCTAGGCTTAGCTGTCTTTCAGTGAATGTTGCAAAAAAAAAGAATAGCACTGCATATTAGCCAGCTTGAGAAGTCACAGTTTAAACAACAGAGAGGAAAAGAATAGGCCTCATACTGCAACAGCTAAGAAAATTGTAGTTTACATCCTAAATCAATATTTTCTGAGCAATGTGTAATGATTTGTGGAATAATTATATTTGTAATAAAAGACAATTACAAAGCTTTTACCTGTCTAATTGTTCAGGTACCAGTATCTCAATGCATATACTTTTAACTCATAAAAAGATCATTAAGGTGATAATATCACTGTCCAAATAGCATAAGAACAGCGTTTCTGATTCATCCATAGAAGGAACTTAGGCACCCTGTCACTGATCAGAAGCAAGACACAATGTATCTTTGGCACTGTTATCCTCCTCCAAGACCCTAAGAAGGCTTAATAGTTACAATGACTACACACATACATTCAATCTCTTTCCCATAGACATAGAGATTTCTCAGAACTAATTCAGCTTTGAATATTGTTTGGTGTTCAAGAAATGACTGCGTGTACCACTTACTGCCACGGTCTAGTTGAGAAGGTGGTGATCAGTTAAAGGTTGGATTCAATGATCTCAGAGGTTTTTTCCAGCCTAAATGATTTTGTGATTCTATCTTCCTTGCCTCTCATTCCCACCTACAAAATTCTTGACACTTTCATCCCAGCTTGATCCTACAGATAACTAATACTATAAGGCTTGAGAAACTTAGTACTTTTTATTGTGGTTCCTATCAATTAGTCTTCCACAACTGTGCAGACATCTTGGAATCTGCAGAAGTTAATTAGCATGGAAGAGTTGGGTTAATTACATCTTAATAGGGAACAAAAAAAAAGCTCCTTTCATGTGTATCTTCCATCAGTTTTTACAAAAGGGTGAGGACAAGGGACAGTTTGTTTCAGTAGTCCAAAACAAAGACTGACGTAGGATTCTGTCTAACACTGAGAAGAGACTTCACAAATATGTTCAATGACAGGCCAATTAATTCCCAAACCAGCTTTTATGACTATCAGTTGCAATGACTCTGTCCCTCAGAAGAGAAAATGTGTTTCTGAACAGATCTGCTAACATAACAAGTAGGGCTTTACACTTGGTTTATGGGTGTTAGGTACCCAAGCCAAGAGGTGAGTAAATGCTAAAACTAGAGACTGAATGCATGGGAAAAGACAACAAGAGAGACTTTCTTATTTCCACTCCAAGAGGAAAGCACAGATATACCTCAAATATCTGTAAGTGATGGGCAGAGCCTGAGGCACAAACAGAAAGGGGGACCACTTCATGTTTAGTCACTGGCCTGTGATGAGGTAGGAAGCAAAAAGACTTGGTGGGTAGCAAGCACCACTGCAGCCCAGACACAGACTGCTTGGGAAGGAAAGGCTTCCTCTTTCTCAGTTTCCTTCTATCCATAGGGTCCTTGACCACACTCAGCCATAGTACGAAGGCTTAAGAAAGCAAGCATGCTCTCCACATTAGACAGAGGCCTTCTGATTTCCTCACACACATGTGGGTCTCTGGGGTAGGCTGAAGGTATAAGTACATTTGGTTTCATCTGGGACTGGGTAGTCCAAATGCTTCTAAATAAATCTGGACATAAAATAGACTTTTGTGGTTACTGGAATAGACAGTTATTGCAATGCTTTAGCTGGAGGGCCTAAATTTGCCCAAGTTTTGCCACAGACGTCCAATGTAGTATCTCTGGATTCTTTTTTGAAGAAACACAGTCTTTACTGTTACTCTGATGTGGGATTGTATTCTGTTTAAGAAACAGTGGCTCAACTTGCTTATGTTTTTCAGTAAAATTCATTAATATCATGATTACTATTAATGTCTGTCAAGATGTCACATTCTGAGGTCATCAACACTCTTAGTAAAAGAAATACCATTTAAGATCAGTTTTAAAGAATCAGGTGGGTCAGTTGCCAGCCTTTTTCAGACAGTATTCCTTTTCCTTAATTTTTCTGTCAAATAAGGTTTTAAAGGAACAAATGAGGCTCACTGATATTGTTCATCTAAGTGCAACTCAGAAATATAAAATAGGGTATATCTGTTTTAAAGGATATTTTCTAACTCTGGTGCTGTTGTTCCTAACACCTCATCAGGTTTACAGTTTCAAAAATTCAGCTGATGCTTGACTACATTGTGGTTAATTGTAGCCTTGCATGAAGAAAACCTCATTTTGCTTTAACTGCAGGATTCATATGCCATACATTAATTCAATTTGGACTCAGTTATCTTCTGTTGAGCAGGAATTTTAGTGTTTTTGATCAGCCAAAATACAGAAATAATACTGGTCTTCTATTCTACATTAATACAAACTTGGCATGTACATGGTTTTCCTTGTTTATTTTCCAAAAAGCAACTGGAAAGTAGGCAATACCATTACACTCCACCACTTGAACTATACATTTTCCCTGCTACTCTGTTAACTACTTTATACATGTAAACAAACATTTGCTCTAAGATGGGCTGTAAAGTTTTACTGCATGTAAGTGGAAACACAGACACTATTTCTAATTATATTCATGATATAGAATTCAACACATACTTTTTAAAAATAAATTATAACCAGACAGCAAAACATTTAGGCAAGAACCATATTTGTATAGTATACATATTGCACACTGTGCTCATTTATTCACTTTAAGATCAAATATGTGCTAAGCCTCTCTGTGAAAATAATATGACATCAATAAAATAAATGCTAAAATCTTAATAAAACTTTGAATTTGCTTAGAAAAGCGAGTACTTATATTAAAATTAAATTAACCTTATATTATTAATCTAATGAATATGTTTTTGGAATATTGTTTTCCAGAGACGTCTCACCCCTTTTACATGTAAAATAACACAGTTCATGAGAACACACTTTTGTTTGTTCAGAAAAAACAGCACCTACTTCATATATAATAAAACATCCATCATCATCTGGTCTTTTTCCTTTTT